AATGATCCAGATTGAATATGAGCCGATCTAAAGGTCACGACTACATTTCGTATTTGAATTTGATTTTTTTTTTGTTATGAATCCAATTCATTTGAAAGTTTGAGCGGCTACTCTTGAAAAATAGGCGAACCTAAAAAAAATATTAAAAAAATAATTTATAAAAAAATAAATTGACCAAAGACCCCTGGAAGTTATCGGGGTAGTTTGGTTAATTTAATTTTTATGAATAATTTTTTAAATATTTTATCAGGTGTGCCTTGATGTGAATATTTTATTAGGGCTCCAAATTTCAAGTAATTTGGATTTATAAAATAAAGGCTAATATTCAACTACAAAATGCACCCATCAGATTGGGCCAAATTCAATCTAGGCCATTGGGCTTATACTATTCCATCAGCTAGTGGGCTGATAAGATCTTTTCCCTATATATATATATATATATATATATATATAATTTCATGCAATGATAGTAATATTATGAAACATATCCTCATGAAATGTATCCTCAGAAACTACGTTGGGGCCATTTGTGCAACTCCAATTTTTGAACATAAATTAGTTTCACTCTATGAACAATCTAAAAAAAAGCGAAATTTGAAAATGCAATAAAATATTTTATTTTTTCTCTCCCTATGAACATAAGTCCTCCGTTTGAATTGGATGGTTTGATGCAGGCCTTAGAGGAATGTTTTATCCCAAATTTTGTGAATGACCTTATCATAATAGATGGACAATTTTAAAAAGAAAAAATGGATCTTGAGCTCTTAAAGGTTTAAATTTCAATATTCTTAAAAGTATTGGCAGGTTCAATAAGAAATTCACAACTTGTAGGGAGGTGATTTGATGTAGCTTTTGGTAATGTAATGAAACACACCTTCATAAACCATATTAGGATCATTGTTTGATTGTATTTCTTTAACATACACTTCAGTCACTATGAGGAACAATCATCTCGAAAAAAAAAAAAAGAGAGAAGAAAGAAAACAAGAGAAGAAGAAGAAGATGACAAAGTTGTAACCATGCCCTATTTTTTTTTAAGAAAAAACCAATGAACATATTTTGTCTATTTGAAAGAATGATTAGATCTTGGCCTTGCATGGATTCTTTTTCTATCCCAAATAGATGGCATTACGCACTAGATGAAAAGAAAGACTTGGTTTAGAGTTTTGAAGTCCTAGATCTCATTGTCTACTAAATTGACGCTTTGGATTCATTGTTGGAGAGTGACTTATTTTGACATTTTTTAGGGTGCAAATTCAATTTTATTTGTTTTGGCATTGGTTGTTGGGATGATGAGGGTGTGTATGCCAAAGTTGGAATGATACGAATGCCATAAACATGGTTTTTCGAAAGAGCAGTTCCATTATATTAAAATGGAAAGGTGACATGAAATCTCTCCCCATACATGCACAAACAGAATGACCAAGCCTATGCAATATTTCAAGTTGTTCTAGAAAGCAATAGTGGTGTCCTGAGCAGACATACTCTTGGCTTTAGAAACCATTATGCTTGTGTTCCAAGGGATTGTCATGAAACCTTCGTAATGCGCTCCATATATCTGCATGTTTTCAACCTTTTATATATTTTGGTTATTTTCATGTGTACGACAGATTTGGCTGTGGCGTTAACCACTATTATGTGTGGTTCAGTCCCTGTAAGGTAAGCCGGTCCTTATGATCTGCAGAGATAGCCTAAAAACCATGTACAAATAGATGCTGAAATAAAATAGTTTTTAAAAACTTATACTTGTAGCAGGAGTCGAGAAGAAACAAGAATGCGAAAGTAATTAAATAATGGGATTCATCTTGTCCTGTAATTAGTTCCATGACTGGATGATTAATGATTGTGGTTTAATCAATAACATGGGAGTGTCCTACTGACTCGTAGATTAATGACAACTAACCTTTCATTGATTAGCATATACTCATCAATGCAAGCAAATCACAGTACAAAGTTTACTCACGATATTGCAGTGTTCCTTCAAGTTTTTGGCACTCACTCTCTCTCTCTGTCTCTCTCATTTGTGTGTGTACCCTTTCTTTAAAAAGGTACCATTATTTTTAATACTTGGCACAATGACAACATCACAAGAAAAAGCAACCAATCAGTTGATGAGAAGACATCTTGAATGGTAAGTACATCAGTTAAGAAAATTGATAATGAATCTGCACATACTTCTTCAACGAGTCAATTTGGCCTCCTCATTCAGCTCGTAAGGGACATGGCAAAAGCAAGTGTTATGCTCTGATGGATGGATACTTTAAAGCAGGTGTCGTATCCATGTGTGATATTCCAAAAACTTGTGTATAAAGAAAAATTAAAGCTGATGCCTAGCCATGTATAAGGAGATGGCTGATTGTATTAAGAAAGTGGGAAAAGAAGTTATAAGAGAATCCAGAGGGAAACGATATTCAGATAAAGAAACTTGGTAGTGGAGTGATGAAGTTTAAAAGGCTATTGGTAAAAAATGTTCATGTTACAAGGCTTGACAAGAAATAGAAATGATTCAAACATAAAAGAATATAAAAAATACCAATAAAAACATTAAGAAAATAGTAAGACTTTTCTTAAGGCATATGATAATCTATACAATAAATTGGGAACAAGAGAAGCTGAAAAAAATGCCTTCAAACTAGCAAAAAAGGGAGAGGAAGTGTAGGGATCTAGATCATCTTAAATGCATTAAGAGTGAGGATCAGAGGGTCTTCGTAAAGGATGTCAAGGTCAAAGAAAGGTGGAAAATTTATTTTCGAAAATTGTAACATAACGATCACTCTGGGAGAAAAGCGTTAGGAGGAACCTTCAACATAAATGAGGTCGAAGGTCATAAGATACATTTGTAGGATTATGATATCTAGAGTGAAAGAAAGCTTTGAGAAAGATGAAGATAGGTAAGGCTTTAGGACCAGATGGTATACTAATAGAGGCTTGGAAATGCATGGGAGAGATTGGCATATTTTGGTTGACCAAGCTCTTTAACAAGCTTTTGAGAACAAAGAAAATGCCAGACGAATAGAGAAAAAGTACCGTGGTACTTATTTACAAGGACAAAAAGTAAGAATAGAAATGGCGGTGGAAAGAGAGTGAAATAAAAGAGGAGAAAGGGGAGGGATGTGCGCCCTCCTGTCTCCAAGCGATACCAAAGCCAAAAAAAAAATGAAACAAAGAAAAAAATTAAAAAGATAAGGAATTGTTTTCCATCTTCAAAAACTAAATGATTATTATCTGCGAATGATCATTCATGTTTTTAATTTGCATGTCAAGGTGCTTCCCTTCCCCCCTCCACCACGAAAGAAAAACAGAAAGGAAATTTTTTGTTCTCTCTTCCTCATGGGCTGAGTGCCCTTTGTTCAATTGATATATCAAAAATGATAATGGTTAATATTTTTCGAAGTAGTAGAGGCAAGTCAGTCGGAGACGGGCATATGCATGTCAATAATAATAATGTTGAAAAATAAAAAGAAACAGAAAAAGGGGGCACAAAATCCACCGAAAGTGTAGAGTTTATGGTGTCATGATTGAGTGTAGAGTTTATGGTGTCATGATTGAGTTTTATGGGTTTTTCTGAGAAACCTTATCAGTACTATCCACATTAATTTATTCATGGTTTTAAGAATGACTTGACAATGAATCAAGGGACATTGCTTTGACGGCCATGGTTGTTCCTTGAAGCTGTCTGCTTTATTCTGAGATCATGTGTTTGTATGTGGATCCATGTTTGGTTGTGTTCTGTTAGTTCTGTGTGTCTGTGTGTGTGTGTGTCTACATGCTTGTGTATCGGTGCTTTATTTTTGGGTGTCATTTACATCTACGTGATAATCCTAGTAATCTGCACATGAGCTTCACATTTTGTTGGAATTGGTCACTTGACCATTTATGTTGCATTATAAAAGTTGGAAGTTTTTCAAACTGTAGATCTTGCTTTTATCTTGAGTCAATGCATGGAACCTGTAATTCATTCTTGGATAAAGACTCCACACTTAATGCCAGCTATCATGTTTCACAAGTATCTTCTGGTGCTTCCAGACTTAGATTGTTCCACTTAATTGTAGTCATTATCACCATTGTAAATTGCAGGTGGAAAATTTAGTAATTTATTATGCTCTTAATGTCCTAACTTTATACTTCAACATACTCATTACCCAGGGATACTTTAATGAATATTGCAAAGCACTATGAAACTGGAGAAAGTCTACCTGAAGAAGTATATTCCAAGCTCGTGGCTGCACGTACTTTCCGTGCAGGTACACTAAGTCTCCGTCAGGTTAGTTTTTGGTGCTGATTTTCCTTAATGTTCAATTGGTCCTTTTCCTGTTAATGTTCTCTAGGGAGGGATCTAGGTTGTTAATTCTTTCCTTACTACATTAGATGTCAGATTTAATAATATTCGAATTATATTAGGTATAATTTAGCAGAGAACATAGAAGTTAAACTTCATTCCAAGGTAGGGTCGCTTCGTGCTGAATGCGTGGTTGATACATGCTTGGATTTGCTGATTCTGATTGGTTAGAAACCTTATGGTTAACTGAGCTATGTCACAGGTGAAGTGGATAGAATTGAAAGAAATACAGAAAGACATTTCGTCTTTCTCTGTGGCCTCCCTTACACGAGTTCTAGCATCACCATAGTACATGATTAAGGAATGGTTGATCAGCTGTGTTTTTATCCTGCTTGACCTCTCTTTTGTCACATTGGATCCTTGTATATAATTGGTGCTGCATCATTGATTATGTGCAATAGAATTAGGACTTCCCTGGATAACTTTCTTCTTTTACTGGAAAACGTCCTTATCTCATTGTTGATGTAAATCATTTATGAGCATGGTACCTCGTTCTCCAAGTGATGAGCACTATACCCAATAACATATACCTTTTGGTGTCCTTGATAAGCTGTTTATAAGTGTTTTCCTCCATGACATTAAATATGCCACTCACTTTTGGATTACCATTGTGATATTATCTTTCATATTGTTGGATTTGGCTTCTAAGATTTGACTTAGCACTGCTAGACTTCATGTTAACTTTTAGTAGGATGCCTGTTCATGGTCCTAGGAAATGGGGGAATGGCCTTGTTCTTTTGAATAATTGAATTATATCTTCTCTGCAATCGTCATCATCATAGTCTCTAAATTTAAATTTAGGTTTTCTCTTCTTGGTTAGTTAATCTTACTTGGATATAAGTCAGGTCTGCATATAAGTCATAAGTCAGGCTTGCAAGTGGTGTAACTCTCCCAAGACGATTGCTGAAAGCATCATAAGGATCTAGAGAATGCATATCATTATGCTCTTCAAGAGATTTGGCAAAGATTATGACGTTTGACAAAAGGAAAACTGTTCGTCAGCATCCACATTTCAAATGCTAAAACAACATTGATGATGCTGCTCATTTACATGTGTATTTGCCATGTTTTTCTTGTGCCGCATACATTTCGTAGTGTCTTTGCCTCCACAAAGTTGATCTGTATGGATATTCATTTCGATGTTTACAAAAGATTTAGGTCATCATTGTTAGCGTTTACCTTGTGGATGCCATATTTCTATCTTTAGTGTTACATTACACTTGGTTGGGTGTGCTTCTCTTAAGAATTACTCAATTGGGTTTGAGATATTATAATCACAAACAGATAAAACTTTGTCCATTTCTGATCCAATTGCTTTTGTAGATACGATTTGCAAGCATTGACCTTGAGCTGCATACAAAGTATCTGCCTGGTGGATCAGAATCCATATTTGATGTTGATCAAAGGGTGTGTCAGCGAACCCAAGTAATGCCTCCATTGCCAGAGGACAGGTTTCTTTGTAGCTTCAGCCATATATTTGCAGGTTTGTTCTACATTTGTTTAGTTGTGTTTGGAATCTTTCAATATATTGGCTTTTTATATACTTATTTTTCTCAACCGTATTATTTTGTATTCCAGGTGGTTATGAAGCTGGATACTACAGCTACAAGGTACCTCACAAATTATTGTTATGTGTGCCTGCTATCTGCAGGCCTACATTGATGTATTTTTGGTTTCTTGTTAACCTAATTGTGCAGACATTCCACTGCATATGGGACTGTCGGATTCTTCCTGTGAAATGAAAATGGCTCATTTCTAGCCAATCAGATCTAGTGGAATCTTGTTATCAATTCTGTTGGTTCATTAGTTCATAGCATAAAGATCAATAAAAGGCTTACGTACTTGGTTTCTTTAATGTATTACCACATAGAAATTATGGTGTGTGCATGGATCTTGTAGAACTCTTGGCATTTCGTGATGAGTGTAATTGCACACTGATTACCTGTCAGCCTGGAATACCTTTGCCATCCCATAAATGTTAAAAAGTCAATGGTTTAAACAAAATGTCAGCTTTTGTTGTTGTATATTTTATTTATCATGTTTATGCAATTTTTTGAGATTTTTGATATTTAATAAATTTATGCAGTGGGCTGAGGTGCTGTCTGCTGATGCTTTTTCTGCATTTGAGGAGGTTGGACTTGATAATAATAAGGTAAGACTGCATAATTCTATATTTCTTCGCTATCAATGAAAGTAGTGGTTATGTAGGAATCTAGGAGTATAAATTCAAAAATTTCGCTTTTTCTTTTATTAACAAGGGGTGATTCTACGTACAATGGCAAAATTATACAGCAGAAGCAGAAAATAAAACCTATAGTACAACCTATGGACTTAACTCTTCTGTTGTACATTTCGTCCCTTGTGGGCGTGTATAGTGTCACCCTGCAGGTCACCACACTTCTCGCTTGTCTTGTAATCTTTAAATTTTTTTTTTTTGAGAAAAGTTAACTACTTTTTATTAATGCAATCATAGTGAACTTCTCTTAAAAAAAAAACTCTGACTGCCTTAATGGAAAAAGCTTTATTCCCAGACTGAATTTAATTACGAGTAGAATTCTAATTCAAATAAGAATCTTTATTAAAATAGGAATCTTTATCAAGAACATTAAACTGAGAATTTAAAACTGAAAGTAAATAAGAAAAGCTGGGGGGACTTATCTAAACTTTACCTAGGGGTCACCCCCGTAGGATTTAGCACAACCCACACTTGATTACCATACCGATAGCTCAGTCATTCTTGGTCCTATTTGAGTCCTCCAAATCTGGGAAGCACCTTTGGAAACACCGTCTCTCAAATCTGGGGCAGAGAACGTGAACAAACTTGGGTTTCTTTTCAACCCTTAAAACTGAAACCACCAAAACACATTGAGCTGGGTGTGCCGCCTCTTTGGCTAGCTAGGGTGGTGTGCCAACCTCTTATGGCCCTCCCTTACTACGTGAGGTGTCACCTATCCCAAGAGAGAAAAGTAGAGAGAGAGAGTGTCACCTATCCCAAGAGAGAAAAGACGAGAGAGAGAGAGAGAGAGAGAGAGAGAGAGGACGTGGTAGGTAGGAGGTAGGAGTAGTAGTA